GGGGAGGGGAAGGGGTGGTATATATATACATAATGAGTGAGATGTGCACCATCTGGGGGAGGTCATGATGGAGATTCAGACTTTTGGGAGGGGGGGAAATGGGCATTTATTCAAACCTTAAAATCTTGTACCCCCATAATAGGAGTCTCAGGTACCCCTCCTTCCGGCCCTTGTCCGCTGTATGCTCGTCTTCTGCTACTTTCCTCTAATTTCTGCTAGAATCTGTCTTTTCTGCAGAGACACTCTGTCTGGCGGTGTTATTCGTCCGCCACCCCCCTGTTTCGTGTTGCTCCACCCCCCTGTTTCAATTTTTGATAAATATAATATTGTTTTAGCTATTCTATTTTTCTTTTACCGTTTGGAGCTTTAAATGATAATTCTTTTTGTTCTAACAATATTTAACAATATCTCTTGATAACCGCCCCCCATTGTGAAGTGAGAATATGAATGTTCCCATATTCCCCATACTCATTACCTGCTCCCATCTCCTGACTTTTGCCAGGTTTAAATTCACTTATTAGTCTGGCAAATAATTACATATAAATAAACTGACTTCTGAATGTGGCATATACATGCACACTGTGAAGTTAAGGCCTTCAAGTCTTTCTGACACTGGAGTCCACTCTCTACCCCACTCTTTTCCATCCATGATGGGGTGTAAATTATTCTTTTAGATGCAGTCCTATGTTGGAAACGTGATGTGATTACAAACCATATGCTCACTCATATCTGTATTATTATTATTTTCTAGAATTAAGTGTTAATTTAGGCAAAATTATTTTGACTAGCACTGCAATAATAGAAATTATTTTCTTACTCTAAAGAGTCAACTGAAGTGGGAAATTAACTGAAATCTAAGCTTAAGTTTGGATTTAACTAAATGATAAAATAACTTAAAACTGATCTGTCTTTGAAAAACAAACAGAACACTTCTCAAAAGAGAAAGGAGAACTGACAGTGTGTTTTTACCTTTCTGAATGCAAACTGATGAGGCCTTAAAAGTTGTCTGCTAGTCATATCCTTATAAACAAAATTCTATTGCAGGACCGTTAAAGGACCTTAGTATTCAAAAAATTCCACTATGAATCTTTTACACATTACGGAACTTTTTTATTGTGCAAATAATCATCTTCAGTTTATTTTTCAGTCAATCCAAATTTTCACATATTGAGTTTGCTTAATGCACGACGCAGCTGTGTTTATGGAGAAAAATGAACTCTCGCAGATGAGTAGCTGCATCATCATCCGTTTCTCCAGACTGTGAAGGGCAGGCCAAGATGGCAGCCAAGGGCGCGCCAGAGCGGGCGCCTACACCTGCAGGGGTGTTCCCTGAGCCACCCGCTTCAGTGCCCGCCAGGAACTCGCGTGGAGCCTGTCCAGGAAGGAAGGCCAGCCAAGACGGCCGCCCGCCCCGGCCGCGCCCGGGCGTGGGGCGGCGGGCGTGGGGCGTTTAGCCGGGCGAGCGTGCGGGCGCGGCTGCGCGCCCGAGCAGGACGTGGTGCTGGGAGTCGCGAGAGCTCTGGTGGCGGCTTAGATTAAACATTCCTATGGGGAAAGTTCCCAGTATTGCCATTTCTGTGAACTGAGTCTAAAAGACATTATTTTTTTTTTAAAAAGGAGGCATAAGCTGGGTGGGTTTTTTGGTAACAGGATAAAAATGAAAGATTCAAAGTAGCGAACACTAGGAAAAATTACGAACCTCACGAGACACTAGGCAGCCGTCAAGAGGCCGGCACTGAAGACTGCAGGGCGCCTGGGAGAGCGCCCTGCGGGGCGCATGCGCACTGGCTGGGCGCCGCGAGCGGCTGCGGACCCGCCGGCCGGGAGAAGCCCCGCCGTCTCCTTAGGGAGGAGCAAGTGTGAGTGACATTGCCATGGTTTCCTAGTGTTTTTAATGCTGTTCTCTGATCTTTATGATAAAAGAAGAAATACTTTAAGTAGGCCTCATAATCTTTTTTTTGTTTTGTTTTTGAAAAAAGGAAAACTAAAAAAGGAAAGGAAAGAATCCTGAGGTGTAGAGCTATCCAAAATAAATTACTTCAGTTCTTGGACATCTATCCCTTGCTTGTGATTGCAAATATATTGGGGGGAATAAAGAGTTTTCCCACTGACGAATTTTTGCTTAAAAACCTTAGTCTGCCTCAGATAAGTCACATAAGAAATTTGAATTCAGAGCTGCTTTTCTCAACCTCTAGCATCTTACTAACTTGAGTCAGTCTTGTTTGTCCCTGAGACGTGCGCTTCCCTTTGGGGAGGGGAGAGTTCTGCTGCCCACACACTAAGGCACTAAAGCCTAGGGAGCAAACTGAAAGTAAGACCTTGGGAAGCTGAGGGTGCTCAGTCAGATAAAGGAATGATCCTAAAATAGCAGGAAAGAACAGGGGAGGATAAGAGACAGAGAGAGGCAGGAATTACTATATATGAAGTGTGTGCTCTTTGTTAGGTCTCGACACACTGGAAACAGTGCCACTACAAAGAGATATTAAATGAATAACTATTTATTAGCTGTTATCATTTCTGCTTTTATTTTCACTATATGAGGCAGATATTTGTAAACTTTATAATCTGTTTCACAAATTCAGGCTAGAGATACGGTCATGTCACCTTACTTTCCTTACATGCCTCATCATTAAGAAGATAAGTATCTACTTTAAGGTCTTTCCTTTCTTGAATTGCCCTTTACCACAGGGACAAGGAGGGATGGTTAGACTGCCTTTCCTGGAATGGTGTAGTTTCTACATAGGGCAGTGTTTTTATGTTTTGTTTAGTGTTTTTCTGGAACTGAATGAAAATTATGGATGCAGGCTTCCCTAAGAACACACATGTTTGCATACAATAGTTTATGTCATTTCAGGAAGTGTGCCTCAGCCTCCATGCTAAGAACACCTGATCTAGGGTAGTGACAGCAGTTGTACAACTGGCACCTGGTGGCAGTGGGCTCCAATGATGAAGATAACAATGTCACTCACAATGTAAGACTTACCTTTTGTCCTAGCTATCCTCCAAGGATAGACTCTGAAAAGGTCAGAGAACACAGAAAATATGCTGAGGGAGGAAAAATCCTAGGTTAGAAAAGAGAAAGGGACCACTCCCAGCTGGAGCAGAGGAAAGGATTTGAATATAGATCAAGCACAGTTTTGATAACTTTCTTTGGGACTATATATATTAATATCATAATTGAAACTTGCTTGAATTTAAAGTGATCAAAGGATTTTTTTTAAATGAGGGAAGTCCATTTAGAAAGAGAGATTTTATCCAAGGATATATTACCCTCCTAAATAAATTTTAAAGAACAATGAGGTTCAATAATAAATTTGCATTTTAATACATATTATTTTATTCACTCACAGTAATCCAACAAGATGGCTACCATATTGTCTCTAATTTACCAAATTAGCAAACTGAATTATAGAGAAGTAAAGCCATTTACCTGAGGTCACATAGCTCCAAGGTGACATGATCATTTGTGATGTTACTTGTAAAAGAAAGTATGTATACATATACATTTTGAAGTGTTGAAAAGAAAACAGTACTTTGTATTCTTTATCCTATCACTTTTTGTAAGTGTTGAATATATTCCTGTTTATTTTTCTGTGTTGTTTTGTAGCCTTAAGAAGTATTTCAAACATATCTGAATGTATAAAATAAGAGTAAATGGTCTACATGGTGTGATGCTGCATTATGTATAAAACTGTGTGTATATGTTTAAAAAAATCTCAGATATGACATGAGCTATGTGACCTCAGATAAGTCACATATGACATTTGAATTTAGAGCTGCTTTCCTCAACCTCTAGAATATTACTACCTTCTAGAATTAATCTTCTTTGTTCTTGAGACGTCTGCCTCCCTTTTGGAGAGCGGATTAGTTATACTACCCACACCACTAAGTCATGTTCCTCATAGAAGGCAGAGTGGGCAAAATGAGAATGCCCATGGAACAGCCTTCTGGGCATTTTTACATAAGACCATTATCCATTTAGGCTCTTGGGCCCCACTACATCTCCGCAGAAAAGCACATTAGATCCAAATGGAAAGATAGTGTTTTGACCATTGTTTATTTATAGGATAAGCAATGTTCTATAAAACATTTATGGCTTCCTGGAACATTGGCAGAAATTTAGCTAAACAGAAAATGCTATACCTAGACCTGTATAGCAGTTTGAATATTTACCTAATTTGGATAGAAATATCTTAATGCTGGAATTTAAGCCATTCTGAAACATTCTAATTTGTTAGTCAATGTTGAAGTAAATGATTTCATATACTATATATTATGTGCTTACTTACACATGCAAAAACCAAGCTCTTCTCTTTAGAATATCAGGATAATGATCTACTATTTTTCTCAGCCTTCAGCCAAAATTCCTAAGCAGTAGGTAAAGCCTCATTCAATGTCCTGTTGTGTTTTTCTTGCTCACGTCCCTGGCTGGGCTGTAAGCTCCATGGGAACAAGTACCCAGTCAGTCTTGTTCTCTTCTGCATCTTGACTGTCTAGGAGAGTCCCCACATAGGATAGAGGCTCAGAAAATGCCATTTAATAAATAAATAAAGGAACTAGAATAAAAGTTACTGTGCTGTGATGGTTGCTTTTGTGTGTCAATTTGTCTAGGTTATGGGATCCAGATATTTGGTAAACAGCAGTCTAGTTGTTGCTGTGGATGTATTTTTGTTTTTTAGATGGACTAAGATTTAAATTCATAGAAATAATAAAGCAGATTAACTTTTATAATGTGGGTGGGCCTCAGCCAATCAGTTTAAGGTCTTAAATGAATAGCCTGAAATATCTCAACGAAGGAAGAAATTCTGCCCTCAGTCTGCTTTGGGCCTCAAGATTGCAACAACAACTCTTCCCTATATCTCTAGCCTGCCAGTCTGCTCTGCAAATTTTAGACTTGCCAGCTCCCACAGTCATGTGAATCAGTTCCTTAAAATATCTATTTATCTGTACACATTCATGTGCACATTTGTGCACATACAGACACACACAATTGGTTCTGTTTCTCTTGAGAACCCTGACTAATACATATGCATTTTATTTCCATTCATTTCCAGGTCATGAAAAAATATTGAAGAGTCTACTCAATATCATGCAAAATGATAGCTTTTGGCTTTTCAATAGATGTGACTACAGCATTTCCAGTTCAGCTGGGGATGTTTACATGGAATCAGAATCCAGGCTCTCTGTTCATCATGTTCTTATTTTCTTGCCCAAGACTTCATCTGAGTTGTAAAAGGAAGGGTTAAATGAGCATTCTTACCTCTTGGCAGCTTCTTCTGGCAACCAAACCACCAATTTGGATTCCAGATTACAAATCCAATCTGTTCCATATGAGTGATACTCTGGCTACACTGTCGTGTTCTCAAGCCAATCTTTCAATCATTTTATTCTCTAATCCAGTTTGTATGGCTGTACCTGGCTAATTCACATTCTAATTTCCATATCAGCAGCCAGATATTATGTGGATTGTCTCACTACAGCCAAAAAGATTTAAATCAACTTATGGTGTTAAAGGTAAGCAAAGCCAAATTAAATCATAATCAAGGCTTATTGGTTAAATTTCAACATTTTCAGAGTTGTTTAAAAAAAAAAGACACAGAAAGGTATAAATAAGACAATGACCAAAAAACGAAAGTGAGAGTGTGTTAATGATGTTTTCTTAAAAAAGGCTAAATTGTCTAAGAAATGTTTCTAAATTGTTTAAAATAGAAAATAATTCATCAACTCAATCAAGAGATTGGAAATGTTGCCAACTTCTTGTTATTTTCACTAAGAACTAGAGGATTACATTAAGAAGACCATATAAATAGTATGGCTTTATGGATGCTAAAAATAGCCTTGAGAGCAAAGACCATAAAATGTATTTGAACTCAGCTTGGATGGGACACCAGGCAGGTAACAGAAGTGCTGTGCGTGCAAAGCACACATTTGGGGTTGAGTTTGCTGGGATGGAACATTGATCAGAGAACTATGGGAACAGTGAGATGGGAGGGAGGATTTAGAGAGTAGGGGTGGGAACTTAGAGCATTATCAACAAGAGGTTGAAAAGGGATAAAAAGGACAGAGATATTGTATGTTTCCATATGCTGGGAATCTGATTGGGTATACCATACATTTTAATACATTCATTAGACTTTGCATTTAATATTTCTAATTGCTCCATATCACAACATAGTATTATCCAAAACAGGTAATATGGATCTTGCCCTTCAAATTCCCCCATTATACCCAATCAAGCCAGTTACAAAGGTATTTTTATTTGTATACTTCTTCCTACTGGAAAATTAAAACTGATTATATTTTGGTTAATATTTCATGTAACCTTTCTTCCAGATTCTCTATTCTAAGCAGGATGCTCTTCTCTCACTGACAAATTCTACTAAGCATCCTTCTTCTCAAATATATTTTTGCACATGCAAAATGTGTATATTTCACTATGTTCTTGGAGTTTACCCTCTAGACTACCCCCAGGATAACTAGTTAAGCTATAATGCTCAAAACCTAGGACCCCCCAGAGATGTCCTTAGAGCTCCTACAAAGGGAAATGAGATGTGTGGACCTGATCCTTGGGACTCTACCTCCTGTTTCACCCAGAGAGCTTGGCTTTAAGCCTGCTGATTTTAGATTCTAAATGAAAAAGACTTCAATACTCTCAAGAAAAAAAAAATAAGAAAAGAAAAGAAATGGAAGACTGATGCACTGGGCTATTTTCTTCCTCAAGTTCTGACCTATACCTTTGAAGTAGGGGATAATGTAAAGTTATGCATACACATTTAGAAGAACAGTTTTGTTTTCAGGGATGAAACATGGCAGATATTTATAAATTTGTGTAGTACTTGTACATTTTATAAGTGTGCTCCATAACACTGAATTTGAACACTCAATAGGTAAGAGTCTTCTCAGCTAAATTTGTGTCTTCAAAGCTGGACGGAGGTACATTCACTTCTGCTTCACTATCCGTCTGTCAGTTGTTCAGGGACTTGCAGGCTTATTTAGAAACTGGTCCTGACTTATGTGAGTTTGAAGAATCAGTATCCTTGTTTAAGTCCTTTCTCTACATGTTCTCCAATGTCCTTATTATATAGCAAATGAGGGTCTTGTGACAATGCGGTGAGTGAGTGAAAGAAAAGGCTCATAGAGATTTGATGTGGAATATGACCCTTATATATATTTATTTTACTATTCTCTCAAAGGTAACATCGGTGGTAGGAAGAATAACATGGCAGACAATAATGGCCCCACAGAGATGTATACATCTTAATCCTAGGAACCTACGGATATGTTACCTTATATGGCAAAGGGACTCTGCAGGTGTGATTAAATTAAGGATCTTGAGATGGGGAGATTATTCTGAATTAGAGTGAAAGCAAGATTTGTAAATGATACATCGCTAGCTTTGAAAATGGAAGAAGGGCCTGTGATCCAAGGAATAGAGGCAGCCTCCAGAAACTGGAAAAGGTAAAGACACAGATACTCCCCTAAGGCCCCCAGAAAGGAATGGATCCCTGCTGACACCTTTCTTTTAGCCCATGGAGACTGGTACTGAACTTCTGATCTTCAGAATTATAAGATAATAAATTTGAGTTATTTCAAGCCACTAAATTTCTGGTAATTTATTATTTCAGCAATGGAAAATAATACAACAGCCATCAGAACTGCAAAAATTAGACAAGTGGATAGCATCAAGTATTGGCAAAAATGTGAGGAGATGGGAAGCTTGTGTGCTGCATGTGAATATATAACCTGGCGTACTCATTCTGGAAAGCAATTTAGAAGTGCTTAGTGGAATTGAGTAGGCATTTGTTCTATGACCTAGGAGATACTACTGTTTTATACATATTCCAGAGAAATGTTCTCATACAGTTCTGTAATGATAGTTATATTTAAGGATGTTTGTACAGCATGATTAATGTTAGCAGGAAGTTGAAGGAAACCTAGGTGTTTATCTCTAAAAAGATAAGGAATAAGTAAACTGGTGAAATGCTGTGCATAAGTTAGAAACGTTGGGCCAAATAATTATATCTACATAGTTAGATCTTCCAAACAAAATGTTAAATGAAAAGGGCAAGAAACAGAGTTTTTTCTCTATTTATATAATGCAAAAGCAACAGCATAGATATATTTATTCATTTGTTCATTTATATTAGTATGGACTCATGGAGATATATTGTACTCTCTGGGTTATAATTCAATACTATTTTCATTTATTTTCTTGCTCTAATTATTCTATTTTGACCATAGGGAGCTCTTTCAATGTCCCTGTAGTATATTTATTTTTAACTGAATTAAATTACTTACATCTTTACCATAATCTTTTCAGAATATTTATATAAAACTTGACCACATTACAAAAAGAAGAAAAGCAAAGCGTTTTGGCTTAGCCTTAGCATATTTTTAGAGAAGTAACAATGTGATGAATTAATAATCAATTGAAATCAAATGCTTACTCCTAGTAATATAATACCTCCCTCCTCATGTATCGAGTTTGGTTTTCAGTACCTTGAGGATACTTAGCGCATTAAGGCTCACCTGTTAGGCTAGGTGAGGTAGTAACAGACATCACTATGAAAGACAGAAGAAGGGTATGTGGTGACCAAGGGCTTGCTCAAACGCACATGTGAGCCAAACCCTGGCCTTCCAGAGATAACTCTGGGTATTTGTGTGCACACTGTGCATGAACATGTGAGAATGGCTAAGGCCAAGGGTAAAGGTGGCTGAAGTTGTGTAGTATAGTCAGGAAGGAAGCAACATTAAGTAAAATAAAAATCATATGTTAATTTCTAAGTGTTAGCACTGTCTCACCTAGCTAACTTATGTTGACTCTGCATATGGTGAAAGGTCTGTCCTAGAAGATTTCTAACTCAGGGTCTGGAAATAGCTTTTTCTTTACTCACCCCCTCCACCCCAATTGCTCACTTCCTGCTTCTTGACCCACAGTTGCTTCCTCCCTCCTCCCTGGGTCTCAAGAACACTGCATATTCCACGTCTTGCTCCTGCTTCTCTGACCATTCGTTCTCAGTTTCTTTTGCTGTTTCCTTCCTATTGCCCAGCCTCTCACTGGCAGCATCTCAGGGCTCAGTCCTCGCACCTCATCTCTCCTTTGTCTACGGTCCCTTTATTGGTGATTGTGTTCCATCCTTGAGCTCTGGATTCCGCCTGTACACTGACAATGCCCGGATTTATATCCCCAACCCAGACCGTTTCCCTGAGCTCTACAACTGTGTATCCAATTGTCTACTCAGTATATTCTTTGGGACATGTAAGAGTGACATAAAAATTGACTAGTCCAAAGCTAAACTGCAGTCTTCCCTCTGCCACTCTGTCCCCTGAGTACCCAAGTCTCTTCCATCTCAGGAAATGGCAATGCCAGTTGCTCAAGTCAAAATCTGAATTATTCCCAACTCTTCCCTTTTCCCAAATCCAAGATACAATCCACTGGCAAGTCCTTAAGTTATATATTCAAATATATCTCAAATCTTTTCATTTCTTAGCACCTCAATTTCACCACCTTAGCTGAACTATTACAATAGCTCCCTAACTGGTCTCTGCTCCTCCTTCACACCCCTGGAGAATGTCCCTAACAAGGTGTTTCTTTACGCTTAGGTACGGTCATGTTCATACCTCTGTTCAGAATGCTCCGGTGGCTCCCAGAGTAAATTCCCATCCTCACAACAGCCCAGAGGCCTCCGTGTTGTGCGATCAGCCACTCCCTTGTACTTCCCACTCCTCTCAGCCACACTGACCTGGCTTCCTTCTGGACCCCACAAGGGCATGCGTCCCTCCCAACGTTTGCATTTGCCAATTCCCCTGCCTGGAGGCCATTTCCTGAGATGGATGCGACTCCCTCCCCTCTTTTGGGTTTTGCTTATGAGCCATCTACTCAGTGGTATCTGCCACCTAACCAGTTTGCAGCCACTTTTTTCACCAGGGACTCACTCTGTCCTTCCCTTCTTTATTGTTCTTCCGTAGTACTTAAGACTATCCAGCATACTGTATATTTTACTTTTCTGTTTATTTTCCATCTTCTCCTACTAGAAAGTCAAGGATGTTTGTCTCTTTTGATTACTATTACTTCTACTGCACCTGGAAAGGTGTGTGGCATGCCATATATGTTCGGTCTGTTGCTGAAGATTGAATGAATTGAATGAATTAACAAATGGATTTCTTTGGCACTCTGGAATTCTCCAGTTACAAATGGAGCAGATATCATTACCTCTGGGTTGTAGAGCAGCTCAATGTTTGTCAAGGCTGAATGCATGTGCAAATGCCACTCTTTGGAAGGAATTGTCTTCTCCCTGCCTTAATACTCACCTACAGCCCAGGAAGGAGGTCTGGACAATGCAGCCACAGGACAAGGTCCAGAAAAAGGCAAGAAACCGACGGGAAGAGGAAGCAGGCAAGCACCAAAGAAAACCCTTGCCTGCTCTTCCCACTCTGTGCAGACAGCGGTTCCAGAGGCTGCTGTGACAGTCTGCAAGCGATTTCCAACAGAGCTTTATTTCAGCTCAGTGGCCAAGTGTAATCTGAATAAAAGGAATAAGGCAGGTTATTCAGTTTCTAATTGCTACTTGCACAACTTTTTCCTAATTGCATTTTCCACAGACAATTTGTGCCAAAACGAACATTCCACTAATGATGCTGGCAAGACAGTTTGTCAAACACTGACACCTAGTGAATGTTACTATACAGACCTTGTTCTGGGCTCTGTTTCAGGTCCAAGAAATTCCACAGACATTGAATTTAGAAGGCAGCCAAATCTCATTCACCTACTTTCAGTATTGGACTTGGCAGAGCTTGACTCCGCAGTGGCGCTCCGCTCTCGGCGGGCCGGCGAGCCTTCGGCCTCGGAATGCTGGCGAAGACTCTCATCTGAGAGACAAACCGGGACAGAACGCCTGCGCGTTGCCAGGAGCCTCTCCGTCAAACAGAAATCTGCCATCCTGCCACGGCGGGCGCGGGCGCGGGCGTGGTCTGCTCCTGAGTGGCCGGGGCGCCAGGCGGCTGGGCGCGGGGCGCGGGCGGCGGCGCGGCGCGCCGGGCGCGGGGCGGCGGCGGGCGGGCGCCGGCGGCCGGGCGGCGGGCGGCGCGGGCGGGGGCGCGGGCGGCGGCGCGGGGCGGGCGGGGCGGCGCGGCGCGGGCGGCGGGGCGGCGGCGCGGGCGCCGGCGCGGGCGGGCCGGCGCGGCGGCCGGGCGGCGGGCCGCGGCGGCGGGGCGGCCGGGCGGGGCGGCGGGCGGCGGCGGCCGGCGCGGGCGCCGGCGCGGCGCCGGGCGCGGGCGGCGGGCGGCGGCGCGGGCGGGGCGGGCGGCGGGCGGCGGGGCGCGGGCCGGGCGGCGGCGGGGGGCCGGCGGCGGGCGGCGGCGCGGCCGGGCGGCGGCGGCGGCGGGCGGCGGGGCGCGGCGGCGGGGCGCGGTGTGCCGGGCGGCGGGGTGCCGGCCCCCAGCTTCCTGGAGTCTGAGAACTGGCACTGGCAGGCCCGCTGCCAGCGGTGTGATTTAATTGAGGAATTTTAGACTCACAAAGTTCCTGTCTCTCTGTGGGCCTAAAATTGGAATGGAATCTGAATGGAACTTGGGATCACACAAAACTGGGAAGGGGTGCGAGTGCCACCAGGGCGGCATCGCGCCGACTTGCTGAGCCTCCCTGCTGCTGAGCTTGCCACGCGATTAAAGCAGAGACCGCCAGGGCCTGCGGGTTTGAGGAGCAGCATAGGAGATGTGCATGGAAAGAGCTTCGTGCATGGCAGCGTCCGACTTTCTTCCCTGCTGCTTCAGGATCGAGCAGCAGAGCGCTGGGCAGGGCCTAAAACACAGTCCTGTCTTTGGGTTACATATTTTATTTCTCTCTATTCTCGCTCTGCTTGGTTGCAAGTGGAGAAACCATGGAGCAGAAAGGGTGCGCACCCGCCACCCCGCCGCCTCGCCTTCCACAGCCTGCCGCTCACTCACACAGCCACACTGCCTGCGGGCCGGGCTCCTGCCTCCCTGCCGCCTGGTGGGGTGTGCTCTCCCATCGCCTCTCTCAGGGGGCCCTGGTTTCTGCTCCGATCAGGAGACGCTCTGCACCGGACTGCTCAGCTCCAGACCCCTCTCCACCTCTTATGAGCTGCATGGCCTCAGCCAAATTTCTTAAACTCTCTCTGCATCAGTTATCCCATCTGTAAAATGGGGGTCAAAGCAGTACTTACCCCATATATAGAGATTGCTCAGCTAATAATAATGTTACTAGATTATAAAGAAAATCAATGTGTGGGTAGCGGGCAGCATGTTCCCTAGAGAAGGCACACAGAACGGATACCAGCACCAGATTCGTGGGTTTGTGCTGGTCTGGCGGAGTTTAGAGTAGGGTCCTGTCCAGTTCTCTGTGAAGTCTAGAAGGCCCATCTTATTCTTGGCCGTGTAGCAGCAATCTTATGTGGACTTCTAAGAGTGACTGACGCTGGCTCTCGTTCCTCCCTCCCCTGTGCTCCCCTCCTCGCCTCTCCACCCCCTTCCCTGCTCTCCCACTCCCTTTCCTTCTTCCCTTCCTCTATCCCTCTCCTCTCCTTTACCTCCCCTCTCTCGGTCTCAGCCTCTCCCCTACCCTGCACTACCTGAGGGAAGCTGGACGTGTCTCTCATGGCTCCCTATTCATCTTCATTCCCCGTCCCGGCCGCTCCCACTGTGGCCTGCAGTCAGTCTCTCCGTGTTCACAGGGAACAGCACAAGAGTGTTTGTGTGTGTCTGTCGTTTCGCTGGTGACATCAAATTAGAAATGCTTGCCAAACAAGGCCCTGCCTTCTGCATTCGAGATTTGTTCCAGATGGCAAGAATGTACACAGTGACCACCTGGGCTTCCTCAAAGTTACCGAACAGCAAACCGTAAGCCGGGCAGTGCCCTTCGTGCCAGTGAGGGAGCTGGAGTGCCTAGAGAGACAAGAGCAGAAAGTCCTTTTGGTCTTGGCCAAAGTCACTCCTTTGTGCTTCTTTTGTTATTTATTGATTCAGAGCTCACGGTGGGCAGTTTTCTTAGCACGTTACACACAGCATTATATAAATACGTCAGGGACATTTTTAGTCCTAGTGGCCAAGACCCTCATGGCACTAATTGGCTAGTGGGCTCTTCTAGGCGCCCTGGGACTGAGTCCTGGCGCCTGGTCTCCCTCACCATCTTCTGTTATTAGTAGGAAGCATTTTGGCCATGTCAAAAGGTTAGAAAGGTAATATCATATAACTACCATCTGTCAAAAACTATGACAAATACAGCTTCTTCTTGCCTTAATATCATTTAATAAAGCTGCAGGTACTTTTTAAAAGTTATGTGGGAGGTTTTCTTTTTTACCACTTAAACTTCAGTGATGTTGTTTTAAGTCTATTTCTTGAATAGATATATCTTGAATTTAGCTTAATTGCATGTACTTCTTTTACTATTATATTTTGTGTTTTCTATTTGGGTTGATTTTTCTATACTTATTATTTTCTCCTTTTTAAGTCTTGTTTGGATTGATCAATATTTTCTTATTCTTTATTGTGCTTTATTGGTTTAGAAGCTATCTATTTTTTCCATTTTTATAGTTATTTAAAAATGTTTATTTATTCATGGAAACTTAAGAAAGTAAAAAGCTAACCAATAACTTTATTTTTCTGAACAATAACTTAGAATATTTTAACTTTGAGGATTGTTCACATTAAGTTAGTTTTTGGACCAATTTACTCATTATTCTTCTCATAGTTTATACCAAGGGTCCTCAAACTTTTTAAACAGGGTGCCAGTTCACTGTCCCTCAGACCGTTGGAGGGCCTGACTATAGTTTTACAAAAACTATGAACAAATTCCTATGCACACTGCACATGTCTTATTTTGAAGTAAAAAAACAAACAGGCAAAAACACCCACATGTGGCCCACAGGCCATAGTTTGAGGACAGCTGGTTTATACAATAATTGCTATACTAATATAACCACAAATTTATAAATTCCACAAACAATCCACAAATTTACAAAATTACAAACTCATCATTGCTTCTTTTACCTCCATTCTCCTTTCTGGGAGCATTTAGAATTTCTCAGGTGAAGGTTTTTTGGTGAAAAGTTTCTCAATATTGTTCTTTTGAGTATGCCTTAATTGTATTCTTGTTTTTGAAAGGTAGTTTTTTTTATTGTTTTATTTTTTGGGCTAGAAAATCTAAGCTGACAATTATTTTCTTCCACATTTGTAGGCTATTATTTCTCTTACTTCTGCTTTTAAGGTTTTTTTTGGATTTTAGGCAATCTACCTTTTTCTCTAGAATTGCTATTAAGATTATTAATAGCAATTTCTTTTTCTCTAGAATTCCTATTAAGATTATATCTATAGAATACTCTGATTTAATTATACTGTGTTTAAGCATGAATTTGGTCTTATCTTGCTTGTGATTTAGCATATTTGTGGCTCTGATAATTTTTATCTTCTATTACTCTGAAAAATTCTCAGCCATTGTCTTTCAATATTACCTTTCATTTATCAGCTCTGTTTCATCTTAAAACTCTAACCACAGGCATATTGGCCTTTGTTATTCTTTCCTCCATGTCTCTTATTTTTTTCCTGTTTTCTGCTTTCTATTTTATAGAAAATATATAGTACTGAATTAAGAGCAATTACTTTGAACTATAATTGAGTTAATTATATTTATTCTCTGCTATGTTTGATATTGTATATTAACTACGCCTTTAATCGTTTAATTTTAGTGACATTATTTTTTTATTTTGAAGAAATTCCATTTATGTTTTTTTCAAATCAGCTTGGTATATTTTGAAAGTATCACATTCCTTTATTTTATTTTTATTTCTTTAAACAGCACAACATTCTCATGTTATTAGCTATTGATGATTTCATAGTCTACTTTGGAGTAGAAATATGCTATTTGTTATATTTAATGGATTGACCCTGATAGCTGATATTCTCCTGTGTCTTATGCTTTGGGCTGTATGTTTATGCTAGGAGGGACAGAGAGCTTTATTTAACGACTTCAGTACGAGTGTCCACTGTAGCCGACGGCCACAGATGAACGGGCATAGTGACTGTAGCCGACAGCCATGATATGACTTTTCTAATTATTCATTTATCAAAATAAAATTGTGAACATTTAAAAATAACGTAATGAAAACATATAAGTTACCTATTCTGATTTACATTACAGTAAAGCTGCCTGTAAAGTAAAGCAAGCTTTCAGTGCTTCAAGTTGTCCTCATCACACAAGAGCAAAACGGATGTGTTGTCAATGTGCAGCGCAGACCGCTGGGCGCACTGTGAGTGCCGCTGTGGGCGAGCTGTCGCCGCCGGTGAGCGCCCAACCAAGGGGTTAAGAAGACCTTATGGGGACTGGATTGAGGGCGTGAACCTCTGGAGTGACTTTATGCTATCTACTGCCACGAGCATTCCTTGACCGGATGACTACTTTCATGCTAATATGCTAGCTTCTGCATTCCTAGACCACACGAGTGCACATTTGATTCAAAGTCTGCTTAAGGACACACCTCTTGTTACAAATTCTTAGAGGAGATCTTTTCACTTAGTGCCCAGGCCAAAAAGGACAAGTTTTCTCTACGCAACTCCATCAACTGATAGATGATTTCCCCACTAAACTTACTTTCCACCAGAGGTGTAGATCTCTGCCAGTCTGGCTCTACCAGGCATTTCAGTCAGCTCCTCGCCACGCAGTCTCCATGTCTGTTTCTTAGGCCCTGATGATATTAATAGTTAAAACCTAAACCCTTCTATAGTTTGCTACCCCAGCTTTCTCCTTTTTTGTGTGTCTTCTTAGGGAATTCTCGTATTTTCTTGAGTACTCAGATATGAAAGAGTATTTGTTGCATTTTTCCATTAGGATGACCATCACCAAAAAAACACAAATAACAAGTGTTAGATAAAGATGTGGAGGAACCCTTGGGCATTGCTGGTAGGAATGTAAAATGATGCAGCCACAATGGAAAACAATAAGATGGTTCCTCAAAAATTTAAACATAAAATTGCCATATGATCCACCAATTCCACTTCTGGGCATATAATCCAAATAACTGAAAGCAGGGATTTGAACAGATATGTGTTTATTAATGTTCATGCCAGCATTATTCACAATAGCCAAAAGGTAAAAGTAACCCAAGTGTCCACTGATGAATGAATGGATAAACAAAACGTGGCATGTACATACAATGGAATATTATTCAGCCTTAAAAAGGAAGGAAATTCTGACACATGCTACAACTTGGATGGACCTTGAGGACATTACGCTAAGTGAAATAAGCCAGTCACAAAAGGACAAAGTACCTAGAATTGTTAAATTCATAGAGACAGAAAGTTGAAGGGTGACTGTCAAGCACTGGGGAGAAGAAAGAGTAGAAAGCTATTGTTTAATGGGTGTGAAGTTTCAGTGTTAGGAGCTGAAAAAGTTTTGGAGCTGGTTGGTGGTGATGGTTTTATGACAATGCGAATATGTTTAATGCCATTGAACTACACACATATTAAGTGTTAATTTCATGCTATATATATGTTACTGCAATAAAAAATAAGTGTATTTGTTACATTTTATGTAGCATTTCTAGGTTTTCTTTATCAGAAAGTTTTCCAGGTTATTTGGACTGCATTTTTATCCAAAATAGGCATTTCTCTGCTTATTTTACTCTTAGGATTCTTAAGCTTTTATTCTACTTCAATGTATTGCTGAGATAAATAAGAAAATAGAGAAAATGAAACCCAAGACTTTATTAATATAGAATTTTTGCTTTCATTCAGTCTTTTTATTGCTATGGTGGTTATAGTGTGTGAATGTAACAGGATCACAGCGATCGCAGGTCTCTACAGATGGGAAGCAAAGTAGAGTCTGACCACACAAGAAATGGGACTGGTGTTACTGCAGACACATGGTCCTGCACTCAGAGTTTCCTTCTTCTCACTGGCTTTGCTGTTCTCTAACAATTATCCCTCTAGCTTTGCTTTTTCATGGTATTCATTCACTTCAGTTTGTTGTAACCCATTTGAATTGACCATGCCCTGTTTGCCTCACAAAAATTCTTCATGTAATATTTTGACGTCTGCCCTTCCTAATAACTGCTTCAGGCTCCTGGATTCCCACTTCCAAGTTTCTGCTTTGCTTATGGCTTTGAGTCTAATCATCTGGGCTATTATTCACTAAAAATAAATGCGCAAGGAAGATGCACTTCTGGTGGGACGATGAGAAGAGCTCCATGGACCTACTCCCTCGTGAAACTGGTGAAAAAAATTTTAAAATCTCGACCATTTAAAGTTTCTGGAAATGGTCCCAAGGGCATACAGCAAAAGAAAAAATTATTCCACAAAGCCTACTACGATTTGGTGAGAACAGTGAGAATGTGTGGTGATGACCTACAACTCGCTTCCTCTCCCACCAAGCCCAGGGCGGGGCAGTCGCGGACTCCAGATGAGTGTGGCCAAGCACACAGCTCTCTCTCCCCTCCGCTCCCAGTTGGGGGCCCGGTACCTTCCTAAGGCGGGAGTGTGCCAGCCTTTCTCCTGCTGCCCGCAGCCACATGCCATGAGGCTGAGTTCTGGGCAAGTACAGACAAGAGGTGGGGGCTCTCTTTTTCCAACTAGCCTCCACATGGGACAGAAGCTTTACCTTGGGACAGTAAATTCTGGAGCCCTGTCACCCTTGTCCTGGCCCTTACTGCAGAGGTCCCAGGCCAGGAGTGGCAAGCCGAGACCTGAGCCTACTGTGCTCAACCCCTACCCCATTTCTGAATGTCCAGATCCTAGAGCAGACATGTCATTCAGAAACAAGGTGTCACTTTCTCTGCCCTGAGCTTCAGGGGGGATCAGAGATTTTACTCAGGGAGAAAGAGAGGTCACAGAACAGCTGACGCTCCTTCTAAGGGAACTGACTTCATTTGCAATAGAATGTGGGAAAGTTCAAGCCCAAGAGCACGCTCAAAAAATAATGGACGTTGTGGTAAAACAAAATTAAAAAGAAATGTGTAGATTCATTAGAGATATCGGTTAAAACATAGGCCAGCTAGTTTACTAGAGAAAACTGGTGAAAGTTAAAAAAAAGTTAAGACAGTTAAAGAGAGCCCTCCTGGAGTTGCAACAAATCTGAAACACCTCAAAAACTGTCCCTACAAAGGGTTCTGAGTATACTGGCTCTGTCTGTGGCACAGTTTATGCCCAGGGCACTACTGAAAACAATAGAGCAATGGGCTAGCAACTAATGGTGCTCAACAGCTGGTTATGGCCAGGGAAAGAGACAGTCAAGGAGAACCCTGCCAGCCAGCTGCCATCCCAGAGTCTGCTCCAGGCTGCGCCCTGTAGCCCAGCATTGGAGGTTTCATGCTGTGGCTGGGGTGGGAAAGACTTCACTAAAGGAATCAAGCCGAAAACTAAACAAACAAACAAACAAACAAACAAAAAATAGCAAGGCCTAGAGTAGCAGGCTGGAGAACCAGTACCAGACTTGCTATCACATATTACCTAAATGTTTAACTTCCAAAAAATAATTGCATGACATGGCAAAAAAGGAAAGCCTGACTATATGTGGAGGAAAAAGTGGACAACAGAGACTGGCTGTGAGAGCAACCAGATGCTGGATTTAAGAAAGACTTCAAGTAGCCATTATAAATATGTTCAAAGAACCAAAGGAAACCAGGCTTAAAGAGATGAAAGAAGGTATGTTGACAACATCTCATTAGGTAGAGAATATCCATTGATAGAAATTATACACACACACACACACACACACACACACACACACACATAAATTCTTGAGTGGAGAAGTAAAATAGCTCCAGAATCGAGTGAAATGAAAACTCCACTGGAGGGACTCAACAGCAGAATTGCACTGGCAGAGTAAGAGAATGAGTACACTTAAATATAAAGCAATGGAAATTGTGCACCCTGAAGAATGGTGAGAGAAAGGAAAGAAGAAAAATAAACAGAGCCTCAGAGAAACGTGGGGTACCATCAGGCACACAACGTCAGCCAAACGGGAGCAGCAAGAGGAGGGGACAGAAATGAGCAGAAGAAATAGTGACTGAAAACTCCTCAAAATATGACAAAAATTGTTAATCTACACATCCAAGAAGCTCACTGAACTCTAAGCATCTGGTCTAAGAGTGAAGGATACACAGGCACAAAACAAGGCCATGCTCTCCCCCAGTGTTAGAAGGGAGTATAGAAAAGACAAAAAGCAATCAATATCATTTGTAGTATCACAAAGTAATCAACTCAAATTTTGTCTTAGCTGATAAAAATTTATTAGGTCACACATCAGCAAGAATTTTACATTGATGAGAATCTTGAGATCCTATAAAACCCTAAAGTATCTTCATAATCAGAAAATTTTAAAAATAATCAGTAATAATTTAATAAGTATACTTTATTTGTTTTATTCTATTATAAATACTATAATTTACTATTATAAATATTAGCTTTGTTGACTAAAATATTTGATTAATATAAAATATTAACACGTCACAAAACACAGCACCTCATGTATAAGACAGTTTCAGCTAACCCTTCTCCCCTTGGGGGTAAAGTGTGCCTTGCACGTGGACAGCTAAGGTTCGACAGGTTTCAGAGGCTCTCTTTCCCAAAGGCCCTTATCCTAAGATTTATTCTTTCTAATTAAGGCTCCTCCACCTCCAAATGCAAATGAAAGAAGGATTCTATTTAAAGCTGGATTAGTCCTTTATACAAATATGAATGAGCTAATGCTGTACTTCGTGAGGACAAGGCAGAGAGACTAGAAAAACTCAGGATACCTAAGAGTGACCCAGATTGCAAGAGGACGGGACTCGGGCAGTGCCTGGGGGTATAAGACTCAACTTTGACCGTTTTTGACCTTATTTCTATCCTGCTCATGCAGGGGCTTTTGAAAAGTGAATTGCCTTTTGATGAGATAATTCAAATTTGCTAAACTCATTTATCTCTTTAGTCCACAAGTATTTTTGCATGACTACAATCTGAAGTAATGACAGAAAACCCTATAAAGAAAAAACAGGTGTTCTGTAGTTAGCCACATGCATTAAGCTATGTCATAATCATAAAACTAATACCAGCCCGAGGCTTTTTGTTTGATACAATAATAACAGTAGAGATAGGTATTTACAGAGAGTATTAAGCACTTGTAGCCTAATGAGTTAAATTATCTACATTCCTTTGTGGATTGTAAAATTGAGAAGGAAAGAATGACAAATTATAGAGAGATATACTCCTTATAAGCAAGTCTCTAATCAAGTGATCTCAGGAATGACCTGGTGTGAGGCAGGCCATGGCTCTCAATCCACCCCACATTGCCTAATAAAGTGTCATGGCGATAACAGCTTCACACCTTTGAGTTAGTCTCAGCATCCCTGGCCTGTAAGGCACAAAAGTATGGTCAAAAAAAAGGAATGCATATTATTTTTCATTGATTTATAATGTCTGTTGGAAAGTATGTTTTTAACAGAATAAAAATAAACTGTGTTAGTGAAAACGTAAGTCTGATTTTCTTTAATTTTTTTTTACTTAAGTACACAGAAGAGAGACACCCATCAAACCCCTGACGCTTGCCTTGTAGAACAAACAGAAGTGTGGGGTGGGGCGAGTAGTTCAAACAAACAAAGCCAAATGCACAAAAGCCAGTGGTCCAAGTGAGCATGCTGTATGTCCTTGTGCGGGGTGGGTAGGGTCAGTGCAGATGGTCAGCTTTCTTGAAGGGTAGGGCGTGAGGGGA